ATAGCACATACTGTGTGATGTAATACAGACATGAGGATATAGCACAGATTGTGTTATGTAGCACAGGCATGAGGGTACATGGTAGACATAGGTATACATCACAGACAAGCGGATATAGCACAGGCATGGAAATAAAACACAGACATTGGGATATAGCATATGCCTTTACATATGGATATAGCACAGACATGGGGATATCGTATATACATATTGATGTAACACATACATAGTAAAATGTCAAAGACATGGGGATACAGCATGCACATAGGATCAAACATAAATATAAGGACACGCTGCATACATCGTGTAATGAGCCATTTTCTCTTGTGATTAATGTTTCCGACCGGCATAATGCTGACCTCATTACCCACCCAGTGCTGATTGGTCTGTAGAAATATGGGACGCTCTTCCCATATGCCCGATGTGCCTAAGTCGTGAAAGGGGATTTTTACTTTTTACTTTATTAATATTCGTATTTGAAAATTGAGTTTAAATACTAAATGGTTCAATAGGGTCGAGTACGAAGTACAATGTTTGAATAACTCAAGACAGGCTAGCGGGCTGGCTGAAAGTGTGACAGTTGAGAGAGAGAGAGAGAGAGAGAGAGAGAGAGAGAGAGAGAGAGAGAGAGAGAGAGAGAGAGAGAGAGAGAGAGAGAGAGAGAGATCAGGAATCACGTGTAGAATGTTCGAGAGCTAGAAAGAGAGGCAGATTATTTAAACTTGGAATGATAAGAAGTTTCAGTCTTGTTTCGAATCCTGGGACAGTGTTGTTTGGAAACATTGGACGAGTGAAAGTCGAATGAATCTACAAGCAAGTGAATGACAAGATATGCAACCGAAAGAAAATGAGATCAACGAGCTTCACAATATAACAAACATTTTAAAAAAACATCATCGCAGCGGCTGTAGACCTTTCACCAGCACATAAACGATAAAACAAAACCACACGAATACACAAAATCCCTTTACTGGGTTGTCGTCGACTTTGGGTACTGAAGAAACCTGGCTAATCAAGCCACGACAATATGTCAGGGTTGCCATATTGGCATTTTTGAAGCCAGATTCCTGTCATATAACAGCAGTTACTCCCCTAACATAATAGACCTGCCCACAGTCTTGATATTAATTGGTGTATCTATAATCTCGGATAGTCCGTCCGTAGATAAATAGTTCGTTTGTTGTTGGAGAGTCCAGCTGTGAAGAACACAGATAAATCACTCCTAAATTGGTCCTTCTTGGCGTATAGTGTCAATATTTAATAGTTTGACCACTTCACTGCGTGCTTAAGTCGTATCCTCGCCCCAACTGTCTTAGTTAGGGACTAGAATTCTGTACGTCATTTCTACTTAGTCCGTTCGAGTGAACAGTTGTGCACAATTGATCATCTAAGTAAAATGAGAGCGCATGGTCGGGGGAGTACATTGGAGCACATACAGTTGCAAAGAACTAAATTTTCTTCTTTAATAACAAATATTATATCGCCATATCGCCTGCACTCAATGATGACTTTACTGATGATTTTCGGAACAAGAAATGTGCCATCATTATAGATAAGTTGCAAAGACTTCATCCCGTCTGGGAAAATGCATAAGGATTTTACATCTCAAAAGGTTTACGCTGTATCTTCCGCTTGTTCCAGTGAGGATGACAGTGAAGAATTCAATCTATAGCTTTTGATAGGAAGTGAGTATATTTTGGGTAAAGGTTTGGCATAAATGAAAGTTTTTTTTTTTAAATTATCTGGCAACCCTGCAACATGAATGGAGGTAAGAGCGTCATCTGTGCTGTGCTCTTTGTGATGCAAATTTATGAGCCATAAAGTGCAAGCGTGAAATGTATTATTTAATTCTGTTTTTTATTCTACGTAATTAACTGCCTGTGAAGATAGCAAGGTCCCTAGATAAAATACTTTTGCCATTGTTTGATCGAGAAGACGTCGTTGGAGAATGAAGTGAATTCGTTATCAGCTGTTTGGTGTTTTTCAACTTTTAACCTGTTCAGTCAGTTCAACATGACGTGTTAAAGTACCGGTCAATGTGTCAGAGTAGACCGCACGACTCAAAGCCAAGAGAGTCCTTGCACAGTCAGCGCAGTCGTTGCTCATAGAGATATTAACAGAAATGGAGATGCAACACAGACATAGCTAGAATACATAACACAAATATGGCGATGTAGCAAAGACATGGAGATATAGCAAAGACATAGGAATGTTGCGTAGGCATGGCGATATATTATAGACACTGGAATGTAGCGCAGACACGGAGATGTGGCAAAGACATGTAGCTGTTGCACAGACATAGGGATGTTGTATAGACGTGGACATACAACACAGACATCGGAGCATAGCATAGACATAGGAATGTTGCATATACATGGGTGGGAATGTTGCATAGACATGGGTGGGAATGTTGCATAGACATGGGTGGGAATGTTGCATAGACATGGGTGGGAATGTTGCATAGACACGGGTGGGAATGTTGCATAGACATGGGAATATATAATAAACATTGTGATGTAGCATAGCGATAACATGAAAATCAAACGAACGGAAACATTTGAGTACTTGGTGCAAAATTTCAACTGCTTAAACACGTTGAGAGAAGAAATATAATCTAGAATACAATCTAGAAAAAAGTATACAATGCCGTTCAAAAAAAGATAAGGTCAAAGTGTCTGTCTCGCAACACCAAGATCAAAAGGTATCAAACGTTGATAAGACCAGTCGTTTTATATGGCTCTGAAACTTAGAGCACAGCTAAAATAGATAAAGCCTTATCATAGGTTTAAAAAAAAAAAAAAAGGCTTACGACGAATCTTTGGATAAATCAAAGATGCAAACAGCAGGAAATTGAGAGTGAAAAGCAACAACGAAATTCATAATCTGTTTAAAACACCTTTGATCACTGGCATCATGAGAGCTAATAGACTGATATGGTTGGGGCATATTGAAAGAATGTCAGATGACAGAGAAGTGAAAACCGTATACACAGGGGAGATGAATGGTCGTAGACCACGAGCAGACCAAGAAGACGATGGAGAGATAATGTCCAGACAGACCTGCAGACACTTGGTGTCACCAACAACTGGACAGACAAGGCCAACCAGAGAGATAAATGGAGGCGTGTGATATCTGCAGTAATGAACTTCAAGGGCTTGAAATGCTGAAGAAGAAGAAGAAGAAGAAGAAGAAGAAGAAGAAGAAGAAGAAGAAGAAGAAGAAGAAGAAGAAGAAGAAGAAGAAGAAGAAGAAGAAGAAGAAGAAGAAGAAGAAGAAGAAGAAGATGTAGCATAGACACGGGTGTGTAGCAAAGATTTGTAGATGTTGCATAGAAATGGGGATGTTGCATAGACGTGATATAACATCAAAATGGGAATGTAGCACAGACATGGTGATGTTGCATATACATAGGGATGTAACATAGACGCGGGGTGTAGCGAAGACATGTAGTTGTTACATAGATATAAGGATGTTGTATAGACGGGAAGATCTAGCATAGACATTGGAATGTAGCATGGACATGAGGATATAGCATAAACATAGTGATTTATAAAAGACATTGGAATGTAACAAAGACCTGGAGATATAGCTTATACATGGGGATATACAAAAGACTTTGGGATGTAACATGGACATGGGAAAATAGCAAAGACATAGGGCTGTTGCATAGACATGGGAATAAAGCATAGATCTGGAGATGTAGCACAAACATAGGAATATATAAAATACATTGAGAAGTAACATAGATACGGGGTGTAGCATAGGCACGGTGATGTAGCAAAGTTATGGGAGTATTGCATAGACACGGGGGATATATAATAAACGTTGTGGTGTAGCATAGACACAAGGGTGTAGCAAAGACATGTTGATGTTGCATAGATACGGTTATTTTGTATAGACTTTGGGATATAGCAAAGACATGGGGATGTAGCATAGACAAGGAGGGTAGCATACACATGTAGCTGTTGCATAGATATGAGGAAGCTGTATAGACGCATGGGGGATATAGCATATTAATAGGGATAGATAAAAGACATTCAGATGTAACATATAAATGAAGATTTATAAAAGACATTGGAATGTAACATAGACATGGGGATATAGCATAATAATAGGGATAGATAAAAGACATTCGGATGTAACATATAAATGAAGATATATAAAAGACATTGGAATGTAACATAGACATGGGGATATAGCATATACATTGGGATATACAAAAGACATTAGGATGTAGTATTAACATCGGGATATAGCAAAGACATAGAGATGTTGCATAGACTTATGAACAAAGCACAGACCTGGAGATGAAGGAAAGACATGGGAATATATGAAAGACATCGAGAAGTAGCATAGGCACGGGGATCTAGCAAATACATGTAGATGTTGCACAGATATGGTTTGTTGTATAGATGTGTAGATATCACAACGGCCTCATCAGTCATCTTCGTACTCATATTTGATGAAAGAGTGGTCATCATAATTTTGATGGACAACACACACATATATAACATAGACATGGTGATGTTGCATAGACGCGGGGATATTGCATAGACATGGGAATATGACATAGACACGGGGATATGACATAGACATGGAGATGTAGCATAGACATGCTGATGTTGTAGAGAAGTGGAGATATAGCGTAAACATGGGGATATAGAATAGAAATAGGGATATAACATAGGCACGGGAATGTTGCATAGACATGGGGCAGTTGCAAAGACATGAGGATGTATCACAGACATGAAGATATAGCATAGACATAGGGATATATCATAGACATAGGAATATAGCATAAACATGGGGATGTTGCATATATATAAGGGGGGAGGGGAATTATATATTAGGAAATATACATGTACACACACACACACACACACACACATAATGGTGAGTTGATGTTACACACAGACAAATACACAAACACACAGACAAATACACACACAGACAAAACACACACACATATATAAACACAGCAGCTACGGTAGCAAGGATACGGAAAACATGTTAGCTCGCAGGTGGGCTGACGTCACAAACAGTGGTCTGCCCTGGAAGTAAAATGCCTGGTTCACCTCTACACAGTTCTGAACCAGCAGCTGCACAACCTGACATAAAATGTTACATTAATATTAATGTCTTGTAACCAGACATAAATAGCTACATTATTTTTGTCGTCATTTAACCGAACATTTAATGTTACATTAATACTGATGTAATGTAACTGGACATTAAACGTTACATTAGTATTGATGTCATGTAACCTAAAATATAATGTTACATTAATATTCATGTCATGTAAAAGGACATAGAACGTTACATTAATATTAATGTCATGTAAAAGGACATAGAATGTTACAATAATGTTTGTGTCATGTAAAAGGACATAGAAGGTTACATTAATACTGATGTCATGTCACGGGACATAGAATGTTACATTTAAAACTAATGAAATGCATCTGAACAGAATGTTACATTAATATGTATGCCCCTGTAACCTGACATAGAATATTAAATTGATACTGATGTCATGTAACCAGAAATAGAATATTTCATGAATACGGATGCTCTCTGTAACCTAACATAGAATGTTACATTAATTGTGATGCTCTCTGAAACCTGACCTAGATTATAAGAAGAAAACCCGATAACAATTACTGCCAGAAAGTCAGTAGGAAAAGCCAGCACAATCAGAGAGATAATTCAACAAAAGTACTCAATGATGGCAGAGGGAAGCCTCTTCTGAGTCCAAGAATAATTCCAGAAAGATAGATGCCGTATGTTAAAGATCATCTTAACTAGAGAGTAAAAAACAAAACTGTAGATAGTTTAATCAACAACAATAAAAAAACACAGAAGACAGGGAAACAGGCATACCAGAAGCAGAAATGCTACTGCATAACTACAGTACGTGATACGTTTAGCACTGAATTATGAAGCAACAGGAGTTGATGATCTTCAGAAGCCATCGAAGCAGCCGGAGTTAAATGGCTGAGACATATTTGTCAGGTCACCTGGTTAGACCAAGAAACAACAGGTGATTTTCAAACAGGAAAAATCCAACTATTATGGGAAAATGCACACAAGGCAAGTAAGATTGTACTGATTGTAGAGGGAAATCACTATTAGGTCACACAGAGAAAGATTGTACTGATTATTGAGGAAAATCACTATTAGGTCACACAGAGAAAGATTGCACTGATTGTAGAGGAAAATCACTATTAGGTCACACAGAGAAAGATTGTACTAATTATTGAGGAAAAATCACTATTAGGTCACACAGAGAAAGATTGCACTGATTGTAGAGGAAAATCACTATTAGGTCACACAGAGAAAGATTGTACTGATTATTGAGGAAAAATCACTATTAGGTCACACAGAGAAAGATTGCACTGATTGTAGAGGAAAATCACTATTAGGTCACACAGAGAAAGATTGCACTAATTATTGAGGAATATAACTAGTGAGCCACACCTAGAAAGTGTATGCAAAAATTATCTAAAAAAAGATCAATTTTAGAAGAACAACTCCCAGAAGCCCAGATTGAATTCAGAAGAGATATGAAATATGAAATATGAAATGTGACATTTACATTAAGACAGTTTAAAGAAGGAGCAGTAACGTGTCAAGCAACATCACAAAGTTGATTTTATAGCCGACAGCCCAAGAAACAGTTCTATTACAGTCAATAGATAATCAAACAGAGAACAGACAATGAATGAATGAATAAATGAATGAATGAATGAATGAATGAATGAATGAATGAATGAATGAATGAATGAATGAATGAATGAATGAATGAATGAATGAATGAATGAATGAATGAATGAATGAACATTACTTGGGACAGTTCCGCACATGTTCTGCCCCCTTCTCAGTAATTAACGAAGGGCTGACATACTAATAGAAGCAGGTGCAATCTGATTAAAAGTCAGAGCCTTCATCTCACCCGCTTTATCATATGGTAACTCGCCGCCCAGAGGAGCGCCAGCAGCTAATCTATCAGCCCGCTCATTACCTTGCACACCTGAATGTCCTGGACAGAAAGTCAATGATATGCTCTGGTTCTTGGTCTTATCAGTTGAGCAAGCCACTCTGCGCGCCAGACACCAGTTTCAATTTTCCGAACCAATCAATCAGACAATCAAACAGTCAACAACCAATCAATCAGACAATCAAATAGTTCAACAACCAATCAACCAGACAATCAAACAGTCAACAACCAATCAATCAGACAATCAAACAGTCAACAGAAGGTGAACAGACAATCAGACAGTACACAGACGATCAATTATCGATCCCAGATCTAACTGATATTACACACTGTCTGTCACTCATCTTGGGTCTAAGAACAATAATTTTGTCATTGTGGGTCCGCTTATCCTAGAGCCAGTGAGGCGTTGGCCCCAGTCAAACAGCAAACCTGACAACAACCTGCCAGACCGGTTGTGTCATAGTTGGTCCCAGTCAAACAGCAAACCTGACAACAACCTACCAGACCAGTTGTGTCATAGTTGGTCCCAGTCAAACAGCAAACCTGACAACAACCTGCCAGACCAGTTGTGTCATAGTTGGCCCCAGTCAAACAGCAAACCTGACAACAACCTGCCAGACCGGTTTTGTCATAGTTGGTCCCAGTCAAACAGCAAACCTGACAACAACCTGCCAGACCGGTTGTGTCATAGTTGGCCCCAGCCAAACAGCAAACCTGACAACAACCTGCCAGACCGGTTGTGTCATAGTTGGTCCCAGTCAAACAGCAAACCTGACAACAACCTGCCAGACCGGTTGTGTCATAGTTGGCCCTAGTCAAACAGCAAACCTGACAACAACCTGCCAGACCGGTTGGGTCATAGTTGGTCCCAGTCAAACAGCAAACCTGACAACAAACTACCAGACCAGTTGTGTCATAGTTGGCCCCAGTCAAACAGCAAACCTGACAACAACCTGCCAGACCGGTTGGGTCATAGTTGGTCCCAGTCAAACAGCAAACCTGACAACAACCCGCCAGACCGGTTGACATACCTTTCTCATCCAGTAGGACCTGCGCCATTTGATGAGGTAACCTCCGACCACAAGACCCAGAGGGAAGAGAAACACGGTCAGACGTACAGGCAGAGCAACTGAAATATATGGTAGAGTGGTTAGTTCAAACACAGTCAGTCATATAGGTATAGTGGTTAGTTCACACACAGTCAGTCATACAAGTAGGGTAGTTAGTTTACACTCAGACATACAGGCACGGTGGTTAGTTCACACACAGTCAGTCATACAAGTAGAGTGGTTAGTTCATACTCAGTCAGTCGTACAGGTCAAATGGTTAATTCACACAGTCAGTTGTACATGTAGAGTGATCAGTTCACACACAGTCAGCCCTATGGTAGAATGGTTAGTTCACACAGAGTCAGGCGTACAGGTAGAGTGGTAACCTCACACAAAGTCAGATGTACAGGCAGCGTGGTTAGTTCCCACGCAGAAGGATGTACAGGCAGAGTGGTTAGTCCCCACGTAGTCATTCGTACAGGTAGAGTAGTTATTTCACACACAGTCAGATATAAAAGTAAAATGGTTAGCTTACACACAGTCATTCGTACGAGTAGAGTAGTTAGTTCTTATACAGTCAGTAGTAAAGGTAGAGTAGTAAGTTCACAAACAGAACAGTACTACCGATAGAATGGTAAATTCACACAGTCAGATGTACGGACAGAGTGGTTGGTTCATTCAAAGTCATTCGTACAGGCTGAATGGATAGTTCGCACACAGTCAGAGTGATTAGTTCACTCTACAAGCAGAGTAGTTAGTTTACGCACAGAACGACGTAAATATAGAATGGTTAGTTCACATGCAAACGTACATGTTGAGTGGTTAGTTAGCACAAACGAATGGTAGTGTAGTTAGTTCACACAGAGTTAAACATACAGGTAGAGTGGTTAGTTCACACACAGTCAGACGCTCAGGCAGAAATTTTAGTTCCTACACAGTCAGACTTAGAGATAGAGTGGTTAGTTTACACAAGGACGCAAGTAGAGTGGCTAGTGCACACACAATTAGTCATGCATATTTAGTGGATAGTTTACACACAGTCAGATAAACATTCAAATTGGTTGGATCACATACAGTCAGACGTACAGATAGAGTGATGCGACGTCTGTGACTTGAGCGTTGCGTGTATGACTCGTAATTCCAACGTACCGCGGTTGAAACCTACTGCAGGCTGCGTGGATTTTTGTCGTGGTATGGGGGGTCGCAGGTCGACCCAGCCTAAAATGGGTACCAAAATTATCTCCTGGGGAAGTAAAGACGACCGGCGTAATGCTGATCACATTACCGACCTAGTGCTGAATAGTCTGTAAAAATATGGGTACTCTTCCCATATGCCCTATGCGCCTAAAGGCGTAAAAAGGGTAGAGTAGTTACTTCACACACAATCAGAAGTACAAGTAGAGTGATTAGTTTAAACAAAGACGTACAGGTAGATCGGTTTGTTCACACATAGTCAGACATACATGTAGAGTAATTAGTTCATACACAGTCAGATGTAGGAGCAGACTGACTAGTTTACAGATAGTCAGACATACATGTAGAGTTGATAGCTCAGTCAGGTGTACAGGTAGAGTGGTTAATTCACACAAAGACGTCAAGTAGAGTGGCTAGTTTACACACATTTAGTCGTACAAGTAGAGTGGTTAGTTCAAACGAAGTCAGAGGGACAGGTAGAGTGGTCAGTTCTCACAAGGGCCAAAGTACATATATAATTTTCAGTTCACATACAGACGTCAGTGTAGAATGGTTAGTTCACTGACAGTCACAAGTACAGGCAGAGTGGTTAGTTCGCAAACAGTCAGAAGTAAAGCCATGGTGGTCAGTTCACACACAGTACGACCTAATATAGAATGGTTAGTTCACATACAGACACGTGTAGAATTGTTAGTTCATTCACAGTCATGCGTACGGGCAGAATGGTTAGATCACACAAAGTAAGACGTACAGGCAGAGTGTTTCAAACACAGTCGCACGTTCATATAGAATGGTTAGTTCATATACAGACGTACATGAAGAGTTATTACTTGACACACAGTCATAAGATAGAGTGTTTAGTTCACACGCAGTCACACATAGAGGTAAAGTGGTTAGTTTACACAAATCAAACGTACAGGCAGTGTGGTTAGTTCAAACACAGCACAGCATACATACAGAATGGTTAGTTCACATACAGACTACATGTAGAGTGGTTAGTTCACATACAGATTACATGTAGAGTGGTTAGTTCACATACAGATTACATGTAGAGTGGTTAGTTCACATACAGACATATGGTTGCATGCTTAGTTTATCCAAATTTAAACGTAAAGAGTGATTAATTGACACAAAGGCTTACAGGTAGAGTGGTTAGTTCACATACAGACTACAGGTAGAGTGGTTAGTTCACATACAGACTACAGGTAGAGTGGTTAGTTCACACTAAGTCAGATGTACAGACAGAGCAGTTAGTTAGCACACAGTAAAACGTACAGGTAAAGAGGTTATTTTACACAGTCACATATACAGGCAGAGCGGGTATTATTGTTTAGTTCACATAAATTATTTCTAATGGTAGAGTGGTTAGTACAAATACAGTCAGTCGTGCAGGTAGAATACTTAGTTCAAACACAGTCAGTCTTAACGCAAAAATACAGCTAGAGCAGACAGTTCCCACATATTCAGTCGTACACATAGAGTGGTTAGTTCATGCACATTAGACGTACATAATGTGTGGTTAGTTCACACATTGTCAAATGTAGAGGCATAGTGGTTAGTTCATGCACATTAGACGTACATACTGTGTGGTTAGTTCACACACACAGTGCGACCTACATATAGAATTGTTAATTCGAATACAGACGTTCAAGCAGAGTGGTTAGTTCACACATAGTCAGACGTACAGGTAGAGTGGTTAGTTCAGTCAGTCAGATATACAGGCAGAGTAGTTAGTTAAAACATAATGAAACGTACATGAAAAGACGTTTTTTTTCACTCACAGTCAAATGTACAGAGTGGTTAGTTCGCACACAGCTATTCATACAGGTAGAGATTTTTTCCCCACACAGTCAGTCCTACCTTAGAGTACTTAGTTGACACAGTCAGATATAAAGCAAAATGGTAAGTTCACACAGTCATTCGCACTGGTAAAGGGCTTAGTTCAAATACAGTCAGTAGTACAGGTAGAGTGGCTAGTTTACACACAGAGCAGTCCTACCGGTAGAGTGGTTAGTTTACACACAGAGCAGTCCTACCGGTAGAGTGGCTAGTTTACACACAGAGCAGTCCTACCGCTAGAGTGGGTTGTTTACGCACAGAGCAGTCCTACCGGTAGAGTGGTTAGTTTACACACAGAGCAGTCCTACCGGTAGAGTGGTTAGTTTACACACAGAGCAGTCCTACAGATAGAGTGGCTAGTTTACACACAGAGCAGTCCTACAGGTAGAGTGGCTAGTTTACACACAGAGCAGTCCTACAGGTAGAGTGGCTAGTTTACACACAGAGCAGTCCTACCGGTATAGTTGTTAATTTACACACAGAGCAGTCCTACAGGTAGAGTGGTTAGTTTACACACAGAGCAGTCCTACCGGTAGAGTGGTTAGTTTACACACAGAGCAGTCCTACCGGTAGAGTGGCTAGTTTACACACAGAGCAGTCCTACAGGTAGAGTGGCTAGTTTACACACAGAGCAGTCCTACCGGTAGAGTGGTTAGTTTACACACAGAGCAGTCCTACAGGTAGAGTGGTTAGTTTACACAAGGAGCAGTCCTACCGGTAGAGTGGCTAGTTTACGCACAGAGCAGTCCTACCGGTAGAGTGGTTAGTTTACACACAGAGCAGTCCTACAGGTAGAGTGGTTAGTTTACACACAGAGCAGTCCTACAGGTAGAGTGGGTTGATTACACACATAGCAGTCCTACCGGTAGAGTGGTTAGTTTACGCAAAGAGCAGTCCTACCGGTAGAGTGGGTTGTTTACATGCAGACGAACAGGTTATCATCAGCATGTAGCAGGTCCTTTGCAGAACGTCGCTCTCATAACGGTTTGCCTGAAAGAAACTCGGTCTCTTGCCGGCTCTCTCGCCTCATGCACTTTCATACTCAAGGAGTCACTTAAATCCTGTGCCCATCTTCGTGTTGGTCGGCCCCTGCCCCTCCTTCCTGGTACCATGTCTTCTGCTATATTTTTTTTTTTTTTTTACAATCCGTCGTGGCGCTTGATATGACCAACATATTTCAGCTTCAGAAACAGGATGCTGTTTATTAGCCAAATTCCTTGATGTTCAGATCTTTCAAGATGTCAACATTTCTCCTCTTTTTCGTCCAAGATATTCTGATAATCTTTCTACAGCATTTTAGCTCAAAAGCCCCTATTCTCTTACTTAAGGACTGAGAGATAGTCCACGATTCACATCCGTATGTAGCCACAGGGAAGATGCATGCTCTCAAAATTCTAATTTTGATCTCCTTGCTGGTGCTTATCCAAAGACTTTTTAGGCTGTTTAATCTTTGCATTGCTATGGTCATCCTCCGTTTAATTTATGTTGAACAGTCTCCATTGTTGTTTATTATAGAGCCTAGATATTCAAAGTTTGTGACATTTTCAATTTCTTCATCATTTATTGTTATTTTTGGGTGACAGCCAGTTTTATCTGTGGACATTATTTTCATTTTCTTTATGATCAAGAACATTTTATGTTTTCCTTTACGCTGTGCGAAAGGAGGACTGTGTAAAAGACGAACAGGTAGAGTTGACATTTCCAACACTGTTAGTCGTGCAGTAGAACACTCTTAGTCGTGCAGGTAGAGTGGACATTTCCAACACTGTTAGTCGTGCAGGTAGAGTGGACATTTTCAACACTGTTAGTCGTGCAGGTAGAGTGGACATTTCCAACACTGTTAGTCGTGCAGGTAGAGTGGACATTTTCAACACTGTTAGTCGTGCAGTAGAACACTCTTAGTCGTGCAGGTAGAGTGGACATTTCCAACACTCTTAGTCGTGCAGGTAGAGTGGACATTTTCAACACTGTTAGTCGTGCAGGTAGAGTGGACATTTCCAACACTGTTAGTCGTGCAGGTAGAGTGGACATTTTCAACACTGTTAGTCGTGCAGTAGAGCGGTTGGTTCACACAAAGACCCAAGTGCAGGCAGAGTGGTTAGTTAATTCACAGTCATTCGTACAGGCAGAGTGGTTAGTTAATTCACAGTCATTCGTACAGGCAGAAAGATTAGTTTACAGACAGTCAGACGTCCATGCAGAGTGATAACTTCACGCAGAATCAGACGATCATATAGAATGGTTAGTTCATATACAGACGTACATGTGGTTAGTTAACACACATACGAAAGGCGACTGGTTAGTTCACACATAGTCAGACATACAGATAAGTGGTTATTTCATACACATTCAGACGTACATGTAGAGTGATTAGTTTACAAACAGACGTACAGGTAGGGTGATTAGTTTACAAATAGATGTACAGGTAGAGTGATTAGTTTACACATAGACGTCCAGGTAGGGTGATTAGTTTACAAACAGACGTACAGGTAAAGTGATTAGTTTACACATAGACGTACAGGTAGGGTGATTAGTTTACAAATAGATGTACAGGTAGAGTGATTAGTTTACACATAGACGTACAGGTAGAGTGATTAGTTTACACATAGACGTACAGGTAGAGTGATTAGTTTACACATAGGCGTACAGGTAGGGTGATTAGTTTACAAACAGATGTACAGGTAGAGTGATTAGTTTACACATAGACGTACAGGTAGAGTAATTAGTTTACACATAGACGTTCAGGTAGAATGATTAGTTTACACATAGACGAACAGGTAGAGAGGTTAATTCACACACAGCCAGATATAGAAACAGAGTGGTTAGTTCACACATAGTCAATCTTACAGATAGAGAGGTTTGTTTATGAAGTCAGATGTACAGAAAAAGTGGTTAGTTCATACACAGTCAGATGTACAGGAAAAGTGGTTAGTTCATACACAGTCAGTTGTACAGGAAAAGTGGTTAGTTCATACACAGTCAGTCACAACAGTAGAAGGGTTAGTTCACTCACAGTCATTCGTACATGCGGAATTGTTAGTTCACATACAGTCCAAAGTACATATAGAATGGTTAGCTCACAAATAGATGTACATGCAGAGTGGTTAGTTCACACACAGTAAAACGTACAGGTAGAGTTTACTTCACACACTGTCAGATGTATATACAGAGAATTTAGTTTACACAAAGACTTAGTTTAAACAATGTCAATCGTGCAGGTTGAGTGGTTAGTTCACAAAAAGTAAGTTGTATAGACAGTGTGGTTTATTAAACAAGGTGTAACGTACAGGTCCAGAGTTGGGGTCACACACAGTCACATGTTCAGGCCCAGTGTTTGGGTCACACACAGTCACATGTACAGGTCCAGAGTTTGGGTCACACACAGTCACATGTACAGGCCCAGAGTTTGGGTCACACACAGTCACATGTACAGACCCAGAGTTTGGGTCACACACAGTCACATGTACAGGCCCAGAGTTTGGGTCACACACAGTCACATGTACAGGCCCAGAGTTTGGGTCACACACAGTCACATGTACAGGTCCAGAGTTTGGGTCACACACAGTCACATGTACAGGTCCAGAGTTTGGGTCACACACAGTCACATGTACAGGCCCAGTGTTTGGGTCACACACAGTCACATGTACAGGCCCAGTGTTTGGGTCACACACAGTCACATGTACAGGCCCAGTGTGTATATCACACATTGTCATTAGTAAAAGGAGAGTGGTTAGTTTACACACAGTCAGTACTACGGTAGCGTGTATAGTTCATACACATTCAGTACTAAGGTAGCGTGTATAGTTCATACACAGTCAGTACTACGGTAGCGTGTATAGTTCATACACAGTCAGTGCAATGTTCCTTTGCTTCCGTCTTTGGCTGTTGTCTAAGGTTGTGCTCTAACAGGTGTTCTAACAGGTGCTCTAACAGGTGTTCTAACAAACAATCCATGTTGAAACCGATGTTATAAGCAAAGAGATATCTGCATGATAACAATGTTTACTGACAATAATTCACTCACGAATATGTCCAGTCCTTGTCCCAAATCCCTCTTCAAGTCCAACATTCAATCGCACCCGTGTTCAGACGTCAACACTCCGAACGTTCACATACAAGCACGAGGCAGTGTTCCATCTTCCACGCCCCCTCTCTGGACAGGGGACTTCAGCCGTTTCCCTCGTGGTCTCTCGCCGCTAACACTGAGTAGTAGCTGTTGATTACCTGTGTAGCTGGTTCGTTGCTGAAGAGGATATTCGAATATATGTCGTCTTGCAGTATTCTCTTTCGTCGTCAAGTATTCTTTACATTCATATGGAATCACAAACACGTCCTCATACTCCGACTGGCAAAAACATACTGTCTAATCAGAACGTGGTCTGACATCTTGTGACAGTGGCAGTTTTTGTTGTCGATGTGATTCGGTAGAAACTTGATGTGTTCACGTTTTGAGAGTGTTTTCGATGTGATTCGGTGGAAACTTGATGTGTTCACGTTTTGAGCGTGTTTTCGATGTGATTCGGTGGAAACTTGATGTGTTCACGTTTTGAGAGTGTTGTCGATGTGATTCGGTAGAAACTTGGTGTGTTCACGTTTTGAGAGTGTTTTCGATGTGATTCGGTGGAAACTTGGTGTGTTGACGTTTTGAGAGTGTTTTCGATGTGATTCGGTGGAAACTTGATGTGTTCACGTTTTGAGAGTGTTTTCTATGTGATTCGGTGGAAACTTGATGTGTTCACGTTTTGAGAGTGTTTTCGATGTGATTCGGTGGAAACTTGGTGTGTTCACGTTTTGAGAGTGTTTTCGATGTGATGCGGTGGAAACTTGATGTGTTCACGTTTTGAGAGTGTTTTCGATGTGATGCGGTGGAAACTTGATGTGTTCACGTTTTGAGAGTGTTTTCGATGTGATTCGGTGGAAACTTGGTGTGTTCACGTTTTGAGAGTGTTTTCGATGTGATTCGGTGGAAACTTGGTGTGTTCACGTTTTGAGAGTGTTTTCGATGTGATTCGGTGGAAACTTGGTGTGTTCACGTTTTGAGAGTGTTGTGTCGTCAACTTTTCAAGGATGTGAATGCAGTTTTTATGATGTTATTTGTGTCGCCCTGGAGAGTTCCATACTCAAGATGTTCAAATAACTGTCGCTGTACCTGTGAAAATTGCAATTGAGGAAAGCCTGAGACAGTCGTTGCATTGCCCAATAAATGCAAGTTAGCCCTGTAAATGTGAGATAGCACAAAACAAGAACAATAAAAAGTGATGTTATTTTAAAAAGCAACCGTGAAGAGACAAGATGGTGGACAGAAAACAAAGCTACTGACTTCCGCTGAGTTCATCGAGATGGACGACGATGATGGCCACACAAGCTGGCAGCCACAGCAGCAGGCACAGCAACAGGACGGCTAGAGGTTGGGCTGACAGTATCCACGGCAACTTGTTGCTAGAGTCGATCACTGCCGACACTTGAGACACGATCTCTGCCAGCTCGGTTTTCTCCATCTAGAGATAGCAATGTACAACATTAATTTGGCCAATTGTTTTATCTCTGACCATCTACAGATGGGAACGTGGAACGTATATCTATGATTTTTTTTTTTTATATCTGATCATCTACAGATGGAAAAGTATATCTATCTAGTCAATGATTTTTTTTTATATCTGATCATCTAGAGATGGAAAAGTATATCTATCTAGTCAATGATTTTTTTTTAAATCTGATCATCTAGAGATGGAAAAGTATATCTATCTAGTCAATGATTTTTTTTTATATCTGATCATCTAGAGATGGAAAAGTATATCTATTTAGTCAATGATTTTTTTTTTATGTCTGATCATCTAGAGATGGAAAAGTATATCTATCTAGTCAATGATTTTTTTTTAAAATCTAGAGTTGGGAATGTAGAACATATATCAGGTTTGTATCATGTGTTTGTCACACATTGTTGACTATGTGACTTTTGTCTGTGACAGATTGTTGATCATGTCACTGTTATCTGTGACACATTGTTGACCATGTAACTGTTGTCTGTGACACATTGTTGACTATGTGACTGTTCCCTGTGACACATTGTTGACTATGTGACTGTTGTCTGTGACACATTGTTGACTATGTGACTGTTGTCTGTGACACATTGTTGACTATGTGACTGTTGTCTGTGACACATTTTTGACTATGTGACTGTTGTATGGAACACATTGTTGACTATGTGACTGTTGTCTGTGAAAGATTATCGACTATGTGACTGTTGTCTGGGACACATTGTTGACTATGTGACTGTTGTCTGTGGCACATTGTTGACCATGTGACTGTTGTCTGTGACAGATTGTCGACCATATGACTGTTGTCTGTAACAGATTGTCGACTATGTGACTGTTGTCTGTGACACATTGTTTACTATGTGACTGCTGTCTGTAACAGATTGTCAACTATGTAACTGTTGTCTGTAACAGATTGTCGACTATGTGACTGTTCCCTGTGACACATTGTTGACTATGTGACTGTTGTCTGTGACACATTGTTGACTATGTGACTGTTGTATGTGACACATTGTTCACTATGTGAATGTTGTCTGTGGCACATTGTTGACTATGTGACTGTTGTCTGTGGCACATTGTTGACTATGTGACTGTTGTATGTGACACATTGTTGACTATGTGACTGTTGTATGTGACACATTGTTGACCATGTAACTGTTGTCTGTGACACATTGTTGACTATGTGACTGTTCCCTGTGACACATTGTCGACCATGTGACTGTTGTCTGTAACAGATTGTCGACTATGTGACTGTTGTCTGTGACACATTGTTGACTATGTGACTGTTGTATGTGACACATTGTTGACTATGTGACTGTTGTATATGGCACATTGTTGACTATGTGACTGTTGTCTGTGGCACATTGTTCACTATGTGACTGTTGTCTGTGACACATTGTTTACTATGTGACTGTTGTCTGTGACACATTATTGACCATGTGACTGTTGTCTGTGACAGATTGTCGACTATGTGACTGTTGTCTTTGGCACATTGTTGACTATGTGACTGTTGTCTGTGGCACATTGCTGACTATGTGACTGTTGTCTGTAGCACATTGTTGACTATGTGACTGTTGTCTGTGACACATTGTTGACTATGTGACTGTTGTCTGTGACACATTTTTGACTATGTGACTGTTGTATGGAACACATTGTTGACTATGTGACTGTTGTATGTGACACATTGTTCACTATGTGACTGTTGTCTGTGGCACATTGTTAACTATGTGACTGTTGTCTGTAGCACATTGTTGACTATGTGACTGTTGTCTGTGACACATTGTTGACTATGTGACTGTTGTATGTGACACATTGTTGACTATGTGACTGTTGGATGTGGCACATTGTTCACTATGAGACTGTTGTCTGTGACACATTGTTCACTATGTGACTGTTGTCTGTGACGTACTGTTGTCTGTGACGTACTGTTGTCTGTGACGTACTGTTGACCATGTGCTCAACAGTTTTGTTCAGTAATGGCGCTCCTTGTGGTGACCGCAACATCAGTAATGATGACGATGGTGATAATGATAATGCTGATGGTGATGACGATAGCACCACTTACCCCAATACCGTGTGATGACAAAGATGGTGAAGTGTCTAGACAGGAGCCGTCTACTGGAGTTAGGAATGAGTTCCAGCCCACACACAAATGGAGCCGACATACGGCCAGGATAGTCCCATTACTGGTAGCTGGCGAATATATGATCATCGCGGGAAAATTTAGCCAACAACATCGACATGTTAGTGTACAACAGGGACATGTTAGTGTACAACAGGGACATGTTAGTGTACAACAGGGACATGTTAGTGTATAACAGGGACATGTTAGTATGCAAAATGAGATATATTAGTGTACAAAAGGGACAAGTTAATGTACTGCAGGGCATGTTATTACAACAGGGACATGTTAGTGTACAACGGGGACATGTTAGTGTACAACAGGGATATGTTGGTGTACTACAGGGACATGTTAGTGTACAACAGGGATATGTTGGTGTACTACAGGTACATATTAGTGTACAAAACAACACTTCACATGGACATGTTAGTGCAAACACAGGGCATGTTAATGTACAACAGGGACATGTTAATTTGCAATAAAGATCTGTTAGTGTACAAGACGGGGCATGGTAGTGCACAATAGGGAAATGGTAAGCTACAACATGGGATATGGTAGTGCACAACACGGGACATGGTAGTGCACAATAGGGAAATGGTAAACTGCAACATGGGACATGGTAGTGCACAAAGGGAAAATGATAAGCTACAAAATGGGACATGGTAGTGCACAAAGGGAAAATGATACGCTACAACATGGAAAATGGTAATGCACAAAGGGGAAATGGTATGCTACAACATGGGACATGGTAGTGCACATTAAGGAAATGGTTAACTACAACATGGGACATGGTAGTGCACACAACGGAAATGGTAAGCTGCAAAATGGGACATGGTTGTGCACAAAGGGTAAATGGTAAGCTACAACATTTGACATGGTAGTGCACAACAGGGAAATGGTAAGCTACAACATGGGATATGGTAGTGCACAACACGGGACATGGTAGTGCACAATAGGGAAATGGTAAACTGCAACATGGGACATGGTAGTGCACAAAGGGAAAATGATAAGCTACAAAATGGGACATGGTAGTGCACAAAGGGAAAATGATACGCTACAACATGGAAAATGGTAATGCACAAAGGGGAAATGGTATGCTACAACATGGGACATGGTAGTGCACATTAAGGAAATGGTAAACTACAACATGGGACATGGTAGTGCACACAAGGGAAATGGTAAGCTGCAAAATGGGACATGGTTGTGCACAAAGGGTAAATGGTAAGCTACAACATTTGACATGGTAGTGCACAACAGGGAAATGGTAAGCTACAAAATGGGACATGGTAGTGCACAAAGTGGAAATAGTAAGCTAGAATATGGGACATGGTAGTGCACGAAGGGGAAATAGTAAGCTACAACATGGGACATGGTAGTGCATAAAGTTGAAATGGTAAGCAAAATATGGGACATGGTAGTGCACACAGGGGAAATGGTAAGCTACAAGATGGTCCATCAATAATGACTGAAGAAGTTGGGGATGTAATACATCATATGAAGAAAGGAAAAGCACCCGGAACAGACAACATGTCAGTGGAAATATTCGAAGCACCGGGATATTTTGGAATTTAAATAATAACCAAACTTTTAAATGATATTTATAATAGTGGCTATATTCCCTAATGGCCTTTTAAAATCTATATTTATAGCTTTGCTAAAGAAACCAAGCACTTTACAATGTGAAGACCATCGCACAATCAGTTATATGAGTCACATGACTAAGATTTTACTGAGAATAATTATGAGAAGAATAATTAAAAAAAATAAACCAGAAATCAGAGATGGACATTGTGGATTTGTAGAAGGAAAAAGTACCAATAATGCCATTTACATCCTAGGGACATTGTTAGAAAGAGTTATAGAAGTAAAGACTGATTTGTACTTATGCTTCATAAACTATACAAAGTATTTGACTGTGTAAAGCATGAAAAAGTAATCAAACTGTTAGAAAAACTAAACATTGATGGGAAAGATCTACGAATAATAAAGAATACGTATTGGCAGCAAACAGCAGCTATAAGAATTAACAATAGTTTAGGTACATTTGAAAACATAAAGAGGGGCGTACGACAAGGATGTGTACTGTCACCTGATTTGTTTTCACTATACAGTGAATATATAATGAGATCTTTAATTGAAAGGCCCGGAATTGTGGTTGGTGGGCACAATGTAAACAATTTACATTATGCTGATAACACAGTTTTGATAGCCACAAATCAGATAGACCTGCAGGAAATGATAGACATTGTGATGTTAGAAAGTGGAAAAATGGACCTCAGTTTGAATAATGGGAAGACGGAAGTAATGATGGTATCAAAGAAACGAATTATTCCTACATGTGTAATAAAAGTTGATGATGTTATTTTGGAACAAGTACAGAAATTTAAGTATCTGGGCACATGGATAAAATCAGATGGAAGATGCATAATTGAGATAGGGAATAGAAAAGGAGAGACGAAAACTGCATTTTATAGAATGAAGAACCTCTTTTGCAATATATCTTTGTCATTTAGAGTTAGAAAAAAAAATTCTTTCTTGCTACATACATCCAATTTTAACATATGGCTGTGAATCCTGGACAATCGGTAGGCAGGCCAACCAATTTCTCGAGGCTTTAGAGATGTGGTTTTACAGAAGAATACCTTGGACAGCCAAAAAGAGCAACAAAGAAGTTTTGAAAGAGGCGGGAGCCCGAAGACAATTTATCACAGACATCAGAAGGAGACAGTCATCATTTTTTTCAGCCATGTTATGAGGAGAGGAAAAGTGGAGCATGTCGTGACCACTGGAAAGATCTGTGGAAGGAGGGGTAGACGAAGACAATGAGAGAAGATTCTTGACAATCTTGTTGCATGGCATGGAGATGTGTCGGCACACGAACTGATACATGCTGCAGGAAATCAGAGATTGTGGAGAAGCATGATCGCCCACGCCAGTCGGCAAGGCACCTGATGATGATTGTGAAGATGGTTAACTTTCAAGACCAGTCATCAAATGATAGAGTAGAAAAACAGAAATTGAACTCCTCTAACACAAAATCCTAATGTAACTGAATTGTAACAGCAATTTCACTATTGTCATAATTTTTATTTTCAAAAAGTTCATTAGGACGAGGAAAACCTAAGAAGCTCTTAGATTCAGTTGGCTGTTTCCTAACATAAATTTTTTTTCCACGAGAGCTCTGATGGTATTATAGGATGAAATAATGTTGCTGACAATGTAAGCTCAAGTTATTGAAAGCTTCAACGTCAACAGTGAGAGACACAATGACAAGGCAAATGAGTTTTTCAGTAAATACATGTAACCTTTTTTTTTTAAAAAAAAAATGATTATTCCTGTTTTTTTTTTTTTTATTGGCTTTTGAGAAAGATTTGCAACTTAGATTTGACTAGGGCATTACAGACATCATATTTTCCTTTGTAAAATCCATAGGCATGAAGATCATCAAAATGAACATGAAAGATGTTGTGTTCAGCGTTTTTGAATTTACAAAATTAACCATTGCATTCATAGACATGCCCTGGTATTGGAAACTGGGCTGCAAGATATAAACGATGCACTGAAAAATAGCTACCTAATGCGGTACTATATTTTTTGCTTACCCCATGACGTCACGATGACAGTCAAATAATTTTCAGGGTGTTAAGGTGTGGTTTCTCCCATTTCGCAAAATAGGCGACGTGTGTTTGCCGCGTCATGTTGAAGCAGCAGTCTTCATCAATTGGCGTTTGCCGCCGCGTCCGTCTTGTTGCTCTAGCAGTCGCCATGAATGTCCTCCAATTAGTAGTACCATCTGTACCTGACAAGGAAACCAGCAATGCCTTCCTGTAACGGCATGGCATTCTGCACAGAACGAGAATTTGTAGAAACAACCAGAGATGGTGTTATCGCTGTCGGAAAGACACACGACCGACCACAACTGTGGAATAGAGCAACTACTTACGAGGGGTTTGTGCTAATACATTATTATCGAATCCTGCAATGATCGGCGGCAAAGAGAGAACATCACTGTTGAAACTGATGAGAGTCTGTTTGCAAGACGCAAAAAACACGTTGGACGCGTGTTTCAATGGGGTGCTATATTTTTTGCTTACCCCATAACGTCACAATGAGCAGCAGTCTTCATAAATCGGCGTTTGCTACAACTTCCTCAACTTCTACAGTCATTATCGGTGGACCATCATTGTTGGTCTGTAGTTCTACATCTGATCTATTATCACCATACAATTCCCCTATACACTCTGTCCATCTGTTAATTATTTTACTATGTCCCAATAAAAAGTCACCATCTTTTGATTTTAAACATTAAGTGCTATTAACATATTTATCTGTTGGTACATGGAATGTGAGTCTTTCCTGTTATTTTCTCCAACCTCTAAACACATTTGGTTCAGCCAGGCTTCTTAAGACACTGCATTTTTCACTATTTCTTTTTGTTTTCTAGAGTATTCTTCTTTATCATACTTTTCTTCCTTCTTTTATCCATCAATTGCAGAATTTCGGTTGATATCCATTTCTTTTTTGCAACTCTATGGGTTGGTGGGATTGTCTCTTTTGATGTCTGCTGAATTGACTCAGAAAAGAGGCGACTTGAGTTTGCCGCGTCTTGTTAAAACAGTAGTATTCAATACTGGTCATGTTTTCATATCATTTGTCACGTGAGCGTGAGGGTAGTTGGTACGTTATAGGCTGAAGAACGAAAAGACTGCTGTTGATTTTGGTTTGTTTGGTGGCCGATAACTTCCTTTAGTCTGGTTCACGAAAGCGGGAAAAGTCTGGCAACTGTAAATAAAAAGGCCAGCTCACTCGGTATTCGGGCCTTTTTTACCTCCAGACGCACCCTGTAGAGACCTATCCAGCTGTTGTGACTGTGCACATTGGGCTAGGCAGCATGGGTATCGGCGACTGCAGGGGAAGGCCGGTTGTCAGGTTGGTTTCGCTGCGGTGGTTATGTTTCCATTGTTAAATCTGAAATTTCTCTAGTGGTTAAACTGTAGAGATATGTCGGTGTGTATTCTGGCTAGAATGGCAGGTCGCTATAAGTGATTTGTTGGTCTGGTGGCAAATTAAA